GGAGGAGAGGGGGGGGGGGGGGGAGAGGAGGACATACCTGTCACAACTGGGCCAATTAGTCTATCTCAATTTAATCGATTTTATTTTTAGAATCTGTCAAATTTTGTAGAAAATACATATTTGTTTATCTCAAACGAAATGTGGCTTTCCTCCCCGAGGGAGGGGGGGGGTGGGGGTGCTACCCGACGGGGACTGCTGTTTCTCTAAACTTAATCTCCTTACCTTTCACATCCATCTAATAATGATTTGGAGTTGAGAGCAAAATAATGTTATCTATCAGACAAATAATGTTATCTATCATAACTTCCTGTTACTATGATAACCAGGAAGTATCTCGAATTGCAGTCAATTCTGATTGGTCACTTCAGTTGAGTACGTGTTTTTGAATTCATGAAGATGGAGTTAAGTCAGTTTATACATTCTTGGAAGGTAGTTTAGCAGTATTATCCACTATGGAGGTAAGAGGTTTGTTTTATTATTCAGTTAATGTCGGTTACTACTAGGGTATGGCATTAATAGGCATGATACAGTAGTGGGTAGTGGTAGTAAGAAAGACTTGGAGAGACCTAGCCTAGGCCAGGCCTGGCATATTTGTGCATAATGCATAGACATAGTCATAGGCATAGACAGTTCACACTGTTCTCTCTCTATGTCAGCTATTTATTCTCAGTGAGGATATAGATAGGCTAGGCTAGTGTAGCCTTAGGGATATAGCCATAGGGCCTTTGTTGGCCTAGCTAAACTGCAGCCTTGCCTAATAGCCTGTTTAGTTATGAGAATTGTAATTAGGCTGTGTTCTCATAATTATTATAATATAGGCTATCAAGTGCATGCTTTAGTTTATTGAAATATGTGGGTGGGGTTAAAGGCTAGTCTTAGTCTAGAAATTATTATTTGCTGAAAGTTAATGTATGTAATCACCAATTATTAATTAATATAAATGGTGACTTATTTCAGAATGTCTCTACTAAAGTTAAAAACTCAAGTGTTGAGTGGTGTAAGGAAGTATTTTGTTTGTTTGAAAGCCTTACTGTGTCTGTGTGGCAGTTGATTGAACAGAAAATTACCGGCTTTCGTCAAAGGTGAATATAATGTTTTCTTTACGTTTTAAGTTTACTGGTCCTAGGTTCTGATTAGCATCATGCTTAAAATAAATTATATGTACTGTATAATGATTGATGACGGTTAATAACCTAAAGACCACTTTTGGGACCGGGATTTTCATGGTCTTCAGCAGCTTCGGTCTCTAGTTAGAATAATAAAAATTAGACATAGTCAATTTGCGACCACAGAAAAGTGGTCTTTATTTAAAGGTAGTCTTTAATTGGACCGGTCTTTCATTAGAGGGAGATCAGTAATCAAATTTAATGTGTACGTAATTAGGCCAAATGGAACAAAAGAGCCAACTGTACTCATTGATAGAGTAAAACAAATGATAGGCCCTAGTACGCAGCCAGTGTATGATGCCCGCTATCATTTGTATGTCCACCCACGTCCTGTACTATTGTCATGTCTGTTTTTCTACTTACCAAGTAAATAGCGGGCATACGTCAGTACACAAATGAAAAAGTTTCTATAAATGGGAGTACACACATTTGTTCTATTTATACCCTTTGATTTGCCCTATAAGGGACATTGAAATTGTAACTGTTTTGAAAACTAAAAAAAAGAACAGGAATGTAAACTGATAATTCACTTTTAAAAAAAAACAAAAAAAAAACTGCTAGTCTCTTACTTATCTTAGCTACTGTACTTTATGCATATCATACTTATACATTAATTTCGAAGAATTATATAACACTTTTAAAATTTTATTTATTAAGGTACATTTAATACAATTTAATTCGTTTTCCTAGACATATGTGGCAAAGACAAGCCAAACCAGTCACTTGTCGGAAAAATCAATTTTTAGTTATTAATACAGGGTTTAACAGTAAAATGAGAGCTATAAAATGGTAAAAGAATCATTTAAATCCAACACTTCGGTATGAAGTTACACAAGTTTAAACATACAGCTGTTTAAAGAACAATATTTTAGAAATCAGCCTTCAAAGTTTACGATTTCAGCCATTTCTTAGGCAGAAACCATCACCAAATCGTAAAAAATTGTTGTTTTAACAGTGAAAATGAGGGAAATAACAGCATAGCATGATGTATAGATATAAAGGCTAGTTGAGTGCAATAAAACAGATTTCCAAACTTTTGAAATTCCAGCATGTTTTGGCAATTATCTCCAAAACAGGATTTGCGACGAGTGACTGGTTTGGCTTGTCTTTGCCACATATATCACCTTAATTAAGATTATTTTAAAAATAACAAATTGAGCATAGGTATTTCAATTGAAAAAAGGCCATTTTCCCCTGCCCCCTTAATTTCTTATAATTGACCTGTATTTTCTGATTTTTTTATTCATTTTTATTTTTTCAAAAAAGGGTTTTAAAATGCCCATTACAATGAAATGCATATGCTCTGTTTTACATTCTTGGCATGTTTTTTTTTCGTGTTTAAAAGCACATAGAGGTTTCCATAATATGTGCTCTATATATAACTTTATAAAGCCATTATTATTCTTATTTCAGATTTTGTTATTGTTATATCTCTCAGCAAGTGTAAAACTCCGAAAAAAGTTAGTACAAGCCAACGTGATTCAATATTTCAAGCTTGATTTGTTCAACTGCAGAATTCACACTATCTGATCTTTTAGCAAGAATTTTAATTTAGCTTGCTACCATCGGACATGAAAAAGCATCTTTGTGGACAGCTACTTCAATATACAAAGAATGCTGGTTAATGCATGCTAACACACAAGGTTCTTGTGATTATTGTTTTATATACAGTTATAAACTCTAGTGATTCTTTAATATAATAGGCCTACATTACGGACAAAAATGCTGATTTATACAGGACTATAAAGCGAAGGACTCTAGAATAAGCTTGAATTTAGGTACAGTATGTGTAGCAAAAGACTTTACCAGTTTTTAATTAAAGAAATTATGGTTTGTATAATCTTAAACTCAGTGTTTTTTGTAAGTCTACAGGAGTTGATTAAAGCCATTGTTATTATTTTTACAGAAAATATCTGGCACAAATTAAAGACCAGTTGGAACTTGGACCAATTGAAAACCATTTAGAACTTGGATCAATTAAAGGCCAGTTGGAATTGGGACCAGTTGGAACTGGGATCAGTTGGATTGTCCAAAAACACAACACCAACTGGTCCCAGTTCCGACTGGTCCAACTGGAATTTGGGACCAGTTGGAACTGGGACCAGTTGAATTGTCCAAAACCACAACCCGCAACTGGTTCCAGTTCCAACTGGTCTAACTGGAATTTAAAACCAGTTGGAGTTGGGACCAGTTGGAACTGGGACCAGTTGAATTGTCCAAAAACACAACACGTAACTGGTTCCAGTTCCAACTGGTCTAACTGGAATTTTCACCTGGGTTGTATCATTATTAAACGATGTGATGCACATTGTAAGTTATCAGGCCGAACGTGTTTGTTTATTTTAATGAAGGTCTTTGGGGAGAGGTGAAAGCATACTTAAAACAAATATAAAGCCACATACTGTAACGGTATCGGAAACAATATACGGTACATTTTTGTATAGTCTCTATTCATTTCTAGTTTTGGAACACTGTTAGACAGATAATTAGCCAAGATGTGTTTGAACTTTACTTGGAAAAAAACGTACATGCAATTTTAGTCGAAGCACGAAACTTCTAAATCTATATTTACCAGTGGCGTATGTAGAGAGTGTGGTGAGGCTTATTTTTCGACCGAGCGCACCTCACTTAATCTTTTTTTACATTCGCATCCTTTCCCTATCCCACATCATGGGCGGCGGAAGCGGGGGGCCGGGGGGCCCGGGCCCCCCACTTTTTGGCGAAAAATATATGTCTGGAGAATTTTGTATGATGGGAAATGCAAAAAAAGAAGGAGGGAAGAAGGAAAAGGATGGGAAAGAGAATGTTTATCCAGTACCTGACCGAGTTACCTTTTCTCGCAATTCACATTGGCGGATCTGGGAGGAGGGGATCATGGGTCCTGACCCCTCCCTTGTGCAACAAAAAAAAGGGGGGAAAGAAAAGGATTCTAGACCTACCTTTTCATGACCCGTGAGCTGATTTTTTTTTTTTTTTTTTTTTTGCTATTAGAAAATTAGAATTTTGAAGAACATAAAATTCATTAAAACACACTTCAAATGTCGGGAAAGCTCAATTCCCGCCATCTAGGAATTAAAATTTTCCCGGGGGAGAACCCCCGGACCACCCTTTCTTTTTTGGGATTTATCGATTCATGGAAAAAAGAATACGCATGCAACTACTCATTTGTTTATGTATGTATACACACATAAAATACAAAATGAGAAAACTTTACCTGACCTTTTTAAAGAGGGGAAAACCTTGAATTTTGAAAATCTTTAAAAGTCATTAAAAGACATTTCAGAAGTCAGGTAAGCTCATCTCCCGCCATCTAGAAATCGAAATTTTTCCGGAGAAGCCGGACCCTTTATCTTTGTAGTTCATTGATTAATTGAATCATTTTCAAGGGGTCTGGGGAACCTTGAATTCTGAAATAAAAGTCATTAAAAGACACCACAGAAGTCGGGGAAAGCTCATTTCCCGCCACCTAGGAATCAAAATTTTCCCGGGGAAGAACCACATGACCTCCCCACCTTTCTTTTTGGGATTTATCGATTCATTCAAAAACTACGTATGCAACTTACTCAATCTTTTTTTATGTATGTATAAACACATAAGGCCTATTTACTGTAATAACAATGGGAAAAAAATTATCTGACCGTTTTCAGGAGTGGAAAACCTTGAAATTTGAAGAACTTAATTACTTTTAAGTTCTTCAAAATTCAAGGTGTTCCCCTCTTGAAAATTATTATAATGAATCAATGAACCCAGGGAAAGGGATGTTCGAGTTCTTCCCGGAAAAATGTTGATTTCAAAATGGTGAACAATGAGATTTCCCGACTTCTGAAGTATTTTTTTTCGACTTTAATTTAAAAGACACCTCAGAAGTCGGGAAAGCTCATTTTCCGCCTTCTAGGAATCAAAATTTTCCTGGGGAAGAACACCCGGAACCCCCCCTCCTTTTTTTTGGGATTCATCGATTCATGGAAAATTCGTATGCAACTACTCATTTTTTTTAAATTGTTATGTATGTATACACACATAAGCCCTATTTACTGTAATAACAATGGGAAAAAATTACCAGACCGTTATCAAGGTGGGAAAACCTTGAATTTTGAAGAACATAAAAGTAATTAAAAGACACCACAGAAGTCGGGAAAGCTCAT